ATGTAACTGATTCCTAAGGATTGTAACTATAATTAATCTTGCAGCAGGGATGTGGTGCCATATAGTCTGCTAGATGTTTACCAGTGTTTTAAAAGAACATATTGCTTTCATCTTGAGAACATGTAACCTCCATAGTCACTGCTCTGAGAACCTCAAATCTCACAGCCTCACATGTCACTATTTCAGTCACATTTATGAACACTTAATACATTTTGCTAATTCTTATAAAATTTAATATATTATATGATTAAAGAAGAGAGGCAAGAAATAATTTGGTGCTGCCTCATCCAAAAATTATTAAAAGTAAAAAATTGTATGCCACTGCATGAAGTTTGGAAGCCAATGCTGTAATGGATTCATACACTAAATGTAAAGACATCTTTTCTTGCTATGCAGAAGGATCAAAGAAACAAGAATTTGGGTTTCTTAGTTGGGAGTAAACTTAATTTGCTAATCTTTTACAGGACCAGAAGAGGATATTCCACGGAAACTTGAGTGTGTAGAGTTTGTAATGCATGCACCATCAGATTACTTCAAGGCTCGAAACACTCCGTTCCCACCTACTCATGTTGATGGTTCCGAAAGTAATTTTATCTGGACAAGACTTGCACCACAGATGAGGTCCACGTGATGTGAATACGTAAAACATACCTCAAGAATATGCTGAACTGTAATGAAGCCATGGAAAGAAGACCTTCATCACATTTATCTCAGTTATGCTTCCTCCTTCAGCATACTCCTGTATATTCTCCAGTTGTGTACCCATTCTGTTACAAGTTTTGATCTGTTCTGTTCACACAAATGTTGACAGTGATAACCACGTGATAATCTCCACTCATAACAAGTGCTGTGTGCTGGTTGACCTAGGCCATGCAGGCCTGGAAGGCATTACACATATAGGCAGAAACTACATTTTTTAACCATTTATTTTTGTAAAGAAAAGTAGGCTTATTTGTATCATTGTATCTATCTGTTGATCATTTGCTGTATGTCCTCACTAACATTTTAATATATTACTGACAGCAGAAGACACTCCACCTACCATCAGTAACACTAGTATGCAAGTCATGCAAACTTCTGAGATGAGAGTAACATCAGTACACCTTCTCTGTAATCCTTAAGTTTGGTGTAATAAATGTACAAAAATATATGCAACTTTTGTACACATCAAATTTTGTAGAAATGAAATAACATTATTGCAGCCACACATAATGTATTGTCACATGTGACTGAGAATTGGATTTATTGACCACTTACACATGACTTGGAACTACAAGCAATTAAGGCACCACTGCTAATCTCCACAATTCCTGAATCACCACAGCACCCACTAAGCCTTTTCCAGTCTGCTGTGTCTTCACCAGCCATTCCCTGGCAACAGCTTCTAACAGTGGAAATTCTTCAGTTTCACGCCCTCTGGTCCTGTCTTCATAGCCTATGGTGCAGAATTCAACTCTTAACTGAACTATGTCCTTTGCTTGTAACATCTGGGCATGGACCATGTAGAAAAACCCCAATTTCAACAGTAACTCTATTGTAGTGTGCATATTCGTTGCAACAGGAATGTGTTTACTGAGCCATTGCCCAGAAACTCCTGTTTACAGAGTCACAGCTTAGGAGTGTGTCTATATGTCACATTTTCTTGACCTCGGCATTAGTTGGAGATGTATGGTCAGTTTCACACCCCGGCCGCTTTAGCCCCGTGGAAAGAGCTGGCAGTACTCCTTGGATAAGAGGTTGGGTGGACCTCACAGCCACTCTGGAGGACTTGGAGAAAAGAAAATTCTTGCCCCCACTGGAACGAACTCCGACTCCTCGGTCGTTCAGCTTGTAGCCAGTCACCATACCGACTGCACCATCCCGACTGATGGTATCATAAAGTGAAGCAGGGATAACATGATGATAAGGAACACAATACAATACAATACAAGGATGATAATAAAGAAACACAGTTCTTGTGACTGCTTACTTTGTCGTGCATGGAACATGGACGCTAACTCATGGAACACTTTTCTGTGCTGTTTTTGTGTTGTAATGTTGCTTTTTGCAACTACTGCCTGATCCTGTCCTCTCCATATATTGAATTGAATTTATTTGCATTCTATAAATCCTAAGCAGGTTAGTACCTTTGGATACAGAACAAGTCAAAAGGTTACATACATAAGTACAGGCAATTTTAGCTTAAAAATTAATATAACTTAATTTTACATCATTCTCTATTTACATTGAAGTATTCATCAAAAGAGTAGAAGGAATGAGCATGTAGATAATTCTTTAACTCTGATTTAAACTTTTTAGTATCATTGCCCAAGTTTTTAATACTTTGTGGCAGATTGTTGAACACTTTTATGCCAGTAAAGTAGACTCCTTTTTGATATACTGATAAAGTTGATGAGGGTAGGTGGAAGTTATATTTTTGTCTAGTATTCATGTTATAGACATCAGAATTTAATTTGAATTTATCTTTGTTGTAAACAACAAATAAGAGAAGCGATAATATGTATTGCGATTGAAGAGGTAGAATTTTTAATTTCTTAAATAATTCTCTACATGAATCTCTACTTCTACATCCTGTAATGATTCTAATTATATTCTTTTGTATTTTAAAAATTATTACACTATGTGAAGAGTTCCCCCAAAATATTAATCCATAGTTCATAATAGAATGAAAGTAGGCATGGTAAACCATCTTCAATGTTTCCTGTGACATAAAAGGCTTAATTGATCTCATCGCATAGCAAGCTGCATTTAATTTAGGTATAATTTGTTCAATATGTATTTTCCAAGACAGTGTACTGTCTACATGTATTCCAAGGAATTTTGTATCAAGTACTTTACAGATTAATTTGTTGGCATAACTGATGTCCAGATCAATTTGGTGGTTGTTTTTAGTTGTGAATGATATGTAATGGGTTTTATCAAAATTTAATGAGAGTAAATTGGCTTCGAACCATCTGTTTAAGGCTTCAAATACAATATTTATGTCATTTTTAAAGTTTTCAAATTTAGAGTTCTTAAATATTATACTAGTGTCATCTGCATATAGAATTGGTTTAGATTTATTGTTGATGGTTTTAGATAGATCATTTATGTAGAGAAGAAAAAGTAAGGGACCTAAAATTGATCCTTGTGGAACACCGTGCTTTATAATTCCCCAGTTTGAAAATGCATTATGACTGGAGTTTTTATTATTTATTTCAACTCTTTGATACCTGTTTTTGAGGTATGATTTGATCCATTCATTAGCTTTGCCAGTTATTCCATAGAAATTTAATTTCGATAGTAAGATATCATGATTAACACAATCGAAAGCTTTTGCTAGATCACAGAAAATCCCTCCCACAATTAATCTGTCATTGAGAGCACTTAAAATATCGTTAGTTAGTTCATAGGTTGCTTTTTCTGTTGTTAGGTCTTTCCTAAATCCAAATTGCTCTTTGACTAATATGTTGTTAGAATTTAAGTGTTCAAGTAGTCTATTATACATAACTTTTTCAAAGACTTTTGAGAATGAAGTCAATATGGATATTGGTCTGTAATTAGAGATGCATTTTCTCTCTCCTTTTTTAAAAAGTGGTTTCATTACAGCGTATTTTAAGCGTTGAGGAAAAGTACCTGATGATAAAGATTTATTACATAGATGATTCAAGGGTGAACTGATGTAAACAGAGCTTGCTTTAAGTAATTTGGTAGAGATTTCATCATATCCATGTGAATTTTTGGGCTTAAGGGATTTAATAATGTTTTCAATTTCCTTCCTTGTTGAGAATTTGAGATTTATATTTGGAAATGAATTGTTAAAGGCACATGACAGATAGTATATTGGATTATTATTATTATTATTGGAATATGTTTTCTCAGCTAATGAAAGGAAATATTCATTAAATGCACTTGCGATAGCTTGTGGGTTGTTAGTGGACTTCCCTTCGATATTCAAACTTTGTACGTCTTCATTAACAGATTTCTTTCCTGATTCAACTTTCACAGTATCCCAGGTGGTATTATGAGTCCTACCACATAATCAAAGGATTTCTTCTAGTTATTTCAAGGTATCTTCGTAGATTGTGCCCTGTTTAGTCAACTCTAATGCTGCATTTCACATGTTTTTTAATATACTTCAAGAGATACATATGTGTAAAAAATCTATTAAATCTTAGTACACATGGGATTGCTGCCCTAAAGAACATGTTACAGCTGAAATATAAGAGACTACATATAAAAAAAAAATCCTTATAAAAATATATACATCATGAAAGTAACTTAACTACCGTTCTACAAACTGACTGACAGGTTTAAATCTGAACATTTCCGTTAATACGAGAGACTGTTTTAGGTTGACTTACTGTTGGGCCACTCTGTATATTAAAAAATAGGCCTACCAACATGGTGACTGTATTTAGTTGTGTAAATGTGCACGGTGTGACAGTTAAGTTCCTGACCTGACGCTATTACAGTAAAAAGTAAAGCTATCCCTGTAACAGGCCGTGAAGGCCCATAGGGTTGTGAGACGTTAAGGGTCCAACATTACCTTGAAAATCGGCTCAAAGATGGCAGTAATGTTGTCAGCCTTACGCGCCGGCCGCGCTTCACTCCCCAGGAAAATTATTTAATTAATTCCTGGTACTCATTTCTGTTAGAGGCTAAGTAAACCACAGGGGCTAGTGCGGCCGGAAGGATTAGGTCAATTGAAAAAATCCAATGACCTCATCGGGACAGTAATGCTACTAATATTATCTATCGGGGATGAAGGGGACTAGTTAGAGAAAACGTTTACTTATATGATGTGCAAGTTTCAACTTATTTGGTTCATGCATATGAGGATTACAATTGTTTTGGTGAAGTTAGTTTTTCCGCCGTGTCGAAAGTTTCAAAATGGAACAAAGAGCAGCATTTCAGTTTTCTGTAACATTACAGAGAACGGCAAACGAAACGTTAGAAATGTTAAAAAGTGCTACGATGAGAAATATTTATCGAGAACAAGCGTGACATAAAAGGTTCAAAGAAACTCAGAAAGTGAGAATGCAAAACTCGCGGGTGAAAATAAAGTTGACTGCATTTTTTACGCTAAAAGTATTGTTCATCATGAATTTGTGCTGGAAAAGAGACTATAAACGGTAAATTTTATAGAGAGGCGATTAAGAGGTTCATCGCTGGAGTTAATTTCCTGAGGTCTGAGTTTCAGGAAAGTGGGTCCTGGTATATTCTGCACTACAATGCCACAGCGCATTCTTCGGGCGTTGTCTCCGAGTTTTCAGCGAAACGAGGGATCCCCTTGTTATCCCATCCACTCTAATCTCCTGATTTATAACAGGCTGAGTTTTTTTGTTTCGTGAATTTAAAACTGCGATGAAAGGGACGAGATTTGATGCTGTTTCATCGATCCAGCAGACCGTGACGAGAATATTGAAGGCGATTCGAGAAGAAGCGATTCCTCGGGCACACTTTGTGGCATTCTGAAAAAAAAAATGAAATCTATGTACATAAATGGATCGTAAAATTAAACAATTGCGAATTTACAATTCTTGGTAGTCTTGCCGTTGGTCACAGTGGCCGCGCTGTCGGCGACACGAAATGCCTTTGGCCGCTGAAACACTGGGATCATGGGTTGGAATCCCACTCGAGGCATAGGTGTTTGTATTTGCTCTATGATTCTGTTGTTCTGCGTAGAGTAGCGGCCTTGCGACGGGCTGATCTCGCGTCCAAGGGGACCTATCATCTGTCTATAAGATTCATAGTTTCAGATTAATTCTGAATTCGCACAGGCCAGAGGGCCTAATCCGTCAAGAGGGAGAGGAGAAGGAAGAGGAGAAGGAAGAAGAAGCTAGTATGGCAGTGTAAATTGAAACGTGTGAAGTTACCGTCCATTTGGTAGTACCAGCAATCAGCATGCTTAACACCGCCACCAATGGAGCGAGTGTGCGGGGAAAAGGGAGGGGAGTGCAGCTATGTTATTCTTGTTATTCTTGGTTACAACCAAGTCAGCATCTTCTTCAAGAGCTTCAGCAAGAGAGAGAGACAGACATATATGATCACAGTGACCTTGAGATTGAAGGCTCATGCTGTCTTTACTAGTAGATTCTGAAGGGTTCTGACGATGGTGGATGACAGACAGAATTACTGGGCTTTTATACTTTTCCCATCGTCCGGAATTCAAAGTAATAGAGGACACGACGTTTCGGAAACTGGGT